TAGAATGGTAAAATAGATCCCCATGTACCCGCCTGCAGTGTTTATCAGTTTATAACCAATCATGTTTCTTCTGTAACTCTCCTCACTTCCTTTCTGTATTATTTTGGAGGAAATACCAGGCATCATTAAATTAGTAAATATTTAGTATGTATCTGTAAAAGATGGAGATTCTGTTTTTAAAGAGAATGTAACGAGGATTACAAGTAGCACAACTAAAAACATTAACAGTTCCTATTATCACCTATTTTGTCAGTGTTCAAATATCAACTATTTGCTCTATATATTTAAATATTTGAGAGGTAGATTTATAGACAGAAAGAGGGAGAGACAGAGAGAGGTCTTCTATCCACTGGTTCACTCCCCAAATGGCTGGAGTCAGGCTGATTAGGAGCTAGGAGACTCCTCTGGGTCTCCCACATGGGTGCAGGGGCCCAAGGACTTGGGCCATCTTCTACTGCTTTCCCAGGTCATAGCAGAGAGCGGGATCAGAAGAGGAGCAGCCAGGACACGAACTAGCACCCGTATGGGATTCTGGTGCCACAGGCGGAGGCTTAGCCCACTACACCACAGCGCTGGCACTTGCTAAATATATTTTTATAATTTAGAAACTGGCTCACTGCCAGTTTAGGTAAATAAAACTTTATGGGAGCACAGTTACACTTACTTGTGTATCGTTTTGGACTGCATCCATTCTAGGATGGCAGAGTTAAATAGCTGCAACAGAAACCATATTGTTCTCAAAGTGAGTAATGCACAAGGACTTCCGAAAGTTCATGGAAAATGCATATTTAAAAAAATTGCATGAGGGCTGGCATGGTGGTGCACTGTGTTAAGCCACTGGCTGTGATGCCAGATGCTGCACTTCCACTAATGCACCTGGGAAAGCAGCCGAAGATAGCCCAAGTATTTGGGTCCCTGCCACTCATGTGGGAGACCCAGATGGAGTTCCAGGCCCCTGGCTTTGGCCTGGCCCAGCCCTGGTTGTTGCAGCCATTTGGGGAGTGAACCAGAGGAAGGAAGATTCTCATGCTCTCTCGCTCGCACATGCGCGCGCGCGCTCTCTCTCTCTCTCTTTCTCCCTCTCTCCCCCTCTCTTTCCCTCTCCCTCCCTCCCCTTCCCTCCCTCCCTCAATGTCCCTTTTAAATATATAAATCTTCTTTAAGAACTGCATGGATTAAAAAATTTTTGTGTACCAGAATTATTTTTTAATTCCATTTTTCATGAACTTGTAGAAGTTCCTTTGTGTTTACTCTTTGGCCCTTTACAGAAAGGGTGAACCCTGCTTTAAGCAGTTATCTTTCAGAATAATTAAAAATAAGAAAAATACCATATATAACTGTATCTTAACTACTTTTAGAGAGCTTCATTTCTTTATGTGAATCCAAGTTTCCTGCTAGTGTCAGATTCCTTCTTCCCTGGAGGTGCGTGTCTGAGCTTTTACTTATCTGAAAACTCTTTATTTTGCCTTAATTTATAATAGCTCTTTTTTGCTAGGTTTAGAATTCTGGGTTGGTAATTTTTTTTATTTTTTTTTCTTTTGCATTCTAAAAAAAATATCTGTCCCTCCATTTTCTTCTGGCTTGTATAGTTTCTGGTGAGATAACTTACATTTCTTAGTTTCTGTGCATGCAAGGTCTTTGACTACTTTCAAGATTTTCTCTGTTGGTTTTCAGCAGTTTGAATGTGCCGAGGTTTGTAGATTGTTTTGTTTTGTCTTTTGGTATTGCACTTGGTTGGGGTTCCCTGGGCTTAGATCTGTTATTTGGTGCCCTTTATTATTTTTGGAAATTTTTCAGTGATGATCTTCTCCAATATTTTTTTCAGAGCCATTATCTCCCTCTTTCTGGGAGAGTCTTTATAACTGATTCAATTTCAGGCACAGCTCTTGGATGCTGTCTTCTGTTTTCCTTTTCTTATTCCTCTCTCTTTGTGTCAGTTTGGGTAATTTTTACTGACCTAGCACTGATTTTTTTTTTCTTTGGCTGTGTTGAGTTTACTGATAGGGCTGTCAGAGGCATTCTTCATGTTACTGGGTTCCTGTATTTCTAGCATTGCTATGTGACTTGAAATTTTCATCCCTGTGCAGAAATTCACTTTCATTCATGTATATGTACTAGAACTTTTGTAACACGTTAACCATAGTCATCTTACATTTTTTCCCTGATCATTCTAACAACTGGAATGCCTGGTTTTAATGACACTTTTGTCTCATCACATGGATTGTATGTATGTGTGTGAGGGGAGTGTAATTTGTTATTGAACCCTAGACATCATGCATAGAGCAGTAGACTACTGAAAGTGTACATCTCTTTTGCTAGGTTGTTTTCCCTTGTTCTGGTTCTACATTCAGCTGTCTTTGCCCCTGTATCTCATAACAGGTCCCTCTTCTAAGCTCTAGCAACAGGCTGTTGTTGCTTCTTAGCCCATACTTGCTAGCCTGGTGGTAGAGATTAGGGAGAGGAGTTTCTTTGTTGTCATGATCCAGCCTCTACCTTAGGCAGGCCGTGCGTTCTGGGTCTCCTGGGTGGGACTTTGTTAGTTCTTCTTCTAGGAGTAGAAAGATTTTTCTTTTCTGTTTCCCCATCTGGAGACAGAATTTGTTGTCCTTCCCCCAAGAAGCTTTAAGGCGCCTTGTCTGTAGAGGAAAATGTCTGGGTGGGGCTCTGATTTTTTGCAGAGTGGCAACTGCTCCCTTCCCCTATGCCTGCAACACTGGCTTCCCTCCAGTATTTTTTTTTAAGATTTATTTATTTGTTTGAAAGAGTTACACAGAGAGAGAAGGAGAGACAGAGATGGGGGGGGTCCTTCCATCTGCTGGTTCACTCCCCAAATGGTCGCAACGGCCAGAGCTGTGCCTATCTGAAGCCAGGAGCCAGGTTCTTCTTCTGGGTCTCCCACATGAGTGCAGGGGCCCAAGGAATTGGGCCATCTTCCACTGCCTTCTCAGGCCATAGCAGAGAGCTGGATCGGAAGAGGAACAGCCGGGACATGAACCAGTGCCCTTATGGGATGCCGGCACTGCAGGCAGCAGCTTTACCCACTACACCACAGCACTGGCCCTTCCCTCCAGTCTTTTTTGGTGAGCACCCAGTGGAAGTTTGTGGAGAAGAGTGTGCAAGTGGATGTGAACTCCTCCAGTTCTGTTGCTTCCAGGGCTTCCGCCCTCCCATGATTTTCTGTATTTGGCTTTTAGCATTTCATTTAAGATCTTAGCTGAATTCATTTTTTTAAAGCACTTGCTCTGGCCTCCTAAGCTTCCCAAAACCTTTTTTCTTTTCTTTTCTCTTTTCTTTCCTTTCCTTTCTTTTCTTTCTTTTTTTTAAAGATTTATTTGAAAGTCAGAGTTAGAGAA